CTAGCTTCTTGTGTTGTTTTGTTTTGATATGCCCGAATAGGCTGCTCATGTGAGCTAGTTTGATTATTGGTGCCTTTGAAGCTCCAACGTCCTGTCACCAGGTGGTTAGATCTCTTACTAGGTATGTGAGCCCAGGAGTCTGTTTACTTTTGTTGTATGAATTCAGCTCAGGTGTCTAGATAGTCGGTCACCAAGTGTGTGGTGCAGGCTCTCACCTACAGTCCTAGTCAGGCAGGGGTGATTGGTGTAGGCACAGGAATCTTGCTGTAGTAGGGGGGTCACACACTGAGCAAGGCAGGCGGCTGACAGCTGTCCCTGAGTGTCTGGGAGGAAAGTGTGTCCCTGTTCTCTAGAGCATGTAGGTGCGTGGGTTTTGCAGTCAGACTATGGGTACCCAGTGCTGTTGGCTGTAAGCACTGGGAGGCACCACTTATTCTTGGACCCCTGTCACAGGTGGCTAGGTGGCATGGGTGGAGCCACCAGTCCTCAGGCCCCTGATGTGGGTAGGTGAGGACTCAGCTTAATGGGTAGAGCGGTGTCAAACGTCATGAACCTGCCACTCCACCATATAGATGATACAGTGAAGTTAGGCTTCAGGTATATACCCTGTTGTACTGTGGTAATGAGCGCCTATGCAGTTGAAATGGGCCCACACAGGTCCATGCAGGGGTAAAAGGCATTCAAAGTCCATGTACCCCTTATGCCTATGCCTAGGCAAAGGAGCTGTGCCTGCCCTGAGTTCCTGGCTTAGGGGAGCTGGCAGATTATTTTTTCCTGCTTGTTAATTTGTTCCCTCTCTAAGGCCAGGAGAACGGCTCAGGGCACATGAGGGGTCCTACTTCTAGCCCAGGGGAAGCAGCAATTGCTGAAGCTGGCCTGAGACCTGGTGCAAAGCAGGAAGGGAGCAGGTAAATGGGAGAGAGTTTCTTCCCAAATGGGGTGTTTTTTGATCCGATCCACGCAGTACATTAAATGCGTGTATATTTATCTTTTGTCAGTTGAGTGCCGCTTTTCACTAGCTCTGGAGGCCGGAGCAGACTCTCCGCTGCTTGGTCTCTCCCAACGTGCAAAACGCATCTCAAGTGCCACTGCTTGCCTCACCACACACACCAGCTGATCTGGCCTGCAGGGCATCGGCTCCCACCGGGTCAGGTCTGGCAACTTCTCACTGCTTTTGAACCATCTTTCCTTCCCTCTGCCACTCAGTCCAATTCCTCAACTTTGCCTTTAATGTTCAGGGCTCCTAGACTGTCATATATAATCAATTCACTTGTTTTTTGGGTCTTTTTTGTAAGAGAGACCATCGAAAGCATCTGACTACTCTACCATCTTGGCCCTGCCTCTGCTTTAATTTTTAAGAGATCTCTCAGTGAGATTCCAGTTTCCATCTTTCAGATTGGCAAAAGAAAAGTTTGATAACCACATGTGCTATAGAGGGTGAAGGAAGCAGGCCTACTCACAATGACTGGTGGGTGTGTAAATGGTTCTACTTCCACAGAGGGCAATTACCAACGTTTAAATGCACATACCCTCTGACCTCACCATTCCGCCTCTGGGTATTGTAAAGTCACCCTGGTTAAGACGGGCATTATAGTCTGTGTGTAATGGCATGGGGCTGAAAACAACCTCGATGTCCACCTACAGGGCACTGGAACAATATACCATGTCATATCTAAGCAATGGAATGATTTGGAAGGAGGGGGACAGCTGGAGGCAGGCACTTGGAACATAGCTGCACTGGCATGACAATCACATGAGATCCTGGAAAGACACATGTGTAACTTAGCAACAGCTGTAGCCCCTGCAAGGGGCTGTGTACCCCGAGTTGTGTGTGAATGTTTGTTGTTTGTTTGTGTTTCAGTGCCATAAGCAGATACTAAAATAACCCTAGCAACTAAATAAAAAGCAACAAAGTGTATAGTTAGAGATCAAATAAATAATGCAGATAAGGACTCAATCAAAGATGCTCAAGGTTAGGAAGAACCTTATAAGTATTAGTTAGGGCTGTCTGGGTGCCGCCAGATTAGGTACAGTGGATTCAGGGTCCACAGGGTCCCTGGGGAACAAGCCAGGCCTCAGGGACAATGGGCTCTGTCCCCAGTGCCCTCAGCACTCTCTACCTGCTTCTCTCATACCACAAGGGGCCACCCTGCACTCAGTACCCCTCTAGGAGAGGTGCTGGTAGGGCTTCTTCCCGCCCAGCCTTTTCAGGGGCAGGAGGGGAGAATACACAAGGCTTGGCATCCCCTCCACACCCTCAGCAGCCCCTGCCTGGGCCGTCTCAGCCAGAGGGATCAGAGTCATTAACGTCAGCCCATGTCCAAAGGCTTGATATCACAATGACATCCAAACAGGAGTCACTGACACCTAGGCTCTCAGATGTTGGACTTGCCGAGGCAGGAAACTTGCCAAATGCTCAGAGATACTTCCAAGCTGCAGGACTTGGGGCTGTCTGGGGTTAGCCTTTGACTGGAAACTTCCTGACGGCTATTACTTCCTGTGTACCTACTATGTGTCAGGCACTGTATTGGGCCTTAACGCTCTCTAACTGATTTTCATAGTAGGAACTATTATCATTCCTACTGTACAGATGGGGACCTGGGTACCCAGGACTCCACCGCTCGCCCAGGGTGGATGGCTGGTAGTAGCAGTGCTGAGGTGTGAACATAGGCTGACTCCAGCTCTCGGCTCCCCATCAGTTCTCCTGGCCCCCAAGCCTTACTCAGTGGCCCAGGGGCAGGCATGTGGCTGCCCCACCCTCGCAGAGCAGAGGGAAGACTGAACAATCAGGACTTGAACCCTGAAGAGGGCTGGTGGGCCTAGACCATCCATCTTCCGATCCCGCAGACTTTTGAAACCACAAGTCTCCAGGATTTGCTCTGCGGACAGGCTAAACACCTGCGATAACTCAGTGGGTGCCCAGCCCAGCCTGCTGTCCCATCGCTGCGGTGCTGGTCTCAGGGTGGGTGAGGGCCCCAAGATGGCCCAACCTGACCAAAGGGAAAGGCTCTCAGCTCCCATTGGGGGAGTATCTGCCTCTCTCCCTCCCACACCTTCCCTCTCTCCTGCTAGATGTGGCCTTGAGGGCATCGGCTGGGAGCTGCCTGTGCTCAGGGCAGGGAGGAGCCTGCATCCTTGATGTTTAGGCCTGAAGCCCACCACTCCTTGCAAGGCCAACCATCCTGCCACCAAACATCCTCACTGTTTGTCGCAGGGCCGGGCTGCTGCTGTGAAGAACTCGGTGACAGCTCCCCAGCTGTCCTGTTTTCACCTCAGAGGCGGCTCTGAAGCCACAGAATTTCACCCAGTCCAGCAGGAGGATTAACACCCAGGGGTGCCCCTCAGCCACTGAGAAGTAGGCCTCGTGGGTAAACACCCTGGCTCCAGGCCTTCAGGGGTTCAAGTCTGGGAGACATTCTGGACATTTCCAAGCCTCTATCGCCTCCAGCAGCAGCCTCAATAATACACCTGGATATTGGTCTTCTTTCGCCCCTCACTCCCTCCAGCTTCCTGGGACCACCTCCCCAACATCCAGTGGCACCAGCCCTCATCCTGGCTCTGCATTCAGCCGGCCAGGCTGAGCTTGTTACTTATAGGTCTACATTCGTCTTATGGAGCCAGCCCTTAGTCACCCTCACTCAAAGCTCCTGCAAATCCACCCTCACTGCCCCAGGTTTCCTTCCTGAACTACAGCCCTGCCCCACCATGCCCTAGTCTAAGAGTCTTGCTTGGCTCCCCAATGCTTCTGATGCTACTCAAGAGGGTCGGCACTGAGGCCCCAATTCCCGCCCTCAGCCACATGTCTGCATACCCTTGACTTAGCCCAGTGACCTTGGAGGCCTAATGGCCACAGGCCAGGTCGGCATTCTCAAGTTATCCTCCAGGCTTTGTTCACGCTATTCCCTCCTTCTGGGAAGCCTTTCTTTCTGCTGGCTGGTGAAATGCTAATGTTTCATTGACTCAGATCCAAAGTCACCTCCCATCCCAACACTCTCCTTGGAGCGATCCCAACTACTACATCCTCCATTTGTGGAAAACTTACTCCAGCCAGCCTCTTATTCTCTCATGAACTCCTGGGACAGCCTTGAAAGGTAGGGTATGGTCATGCTATCTTACAGATGAGGAAACTGAGTCACAGAAAGGTCAAGTCTCAGGGTGTGCTGAGAGATGAATCCAGGCCATCTGACTGGCCTAAGCAGAAGAGGAACCTTGAAATGATATCAGGCAGCACCTGGGACTGGGGAGCAAGCTGGAGAACATGGTTCTGGACCAAGAGCAGTGTGATAAGGTCATTGCAGGGTCACTTTTGACACAGGGTCCACAGATGCTGCCACATCCCTAGCTCCCTGGATCACAGCCCCAGCCTAGCTACTGGGAACCTTCCCAACTGTCCCTTGTCTGGCTTGCCCAGATCTCAAGACTCAAGGTCTCAGGTGCAGAAATCTCACTGGTGAGCCTGGTGAGGGTATGGATGGAGGATGCGGGAGGGCAGCCTTCCTCTCCCCAAGAAGACCAATGTCCACTGCACCTCATGCAGACACACCTGGTCCCCCAGATATCCTCCCCCCACCTGCAGGCCTTGCTTTATTCCTCCTTATGACACTGGCTCCTTGCCACCTAGTGTCTTCATTAGGTGGGTGTAACCTGGTAATCCCCGAGCAGCCATACCTTGTTCATCTCTGCACTCGCTGAGCCCAGTACACATGCCCCACATCCAATAGGCCCTCACCTCAGTGGATGTTTGTTAAATGAGTGTGAAGCTTAGGGAAAAAGTGGTATGACTAGTACCCACTGGCCCTCAGTGTTTTGTTGCATTAAGCGTGGTATTTTGATGTTACCAAGTCTCTCATGGAACAACCTAGATTTCTGGCTTTTTAGAAAAAGGGGAAGACCTGGAACCCTAGTCCTGCATGGCCCCTGGCACGAATGCCACCACCAGCAGTCCCCGCCCACCCTCTGCCCAGTCCTCCTGGCACCCACCACTGCTGCTGGCCACTCACATTCATCATGTTGAAGATCTGGTTGTTGCCCAGGGACAGCACCTGAAGCTTGGCCAGCGCATCCAGGGAGTTGATCTTGGAGATGCGGTTGTTGAACAAGCTCAGGTCCTCCAGGTTCACAAGTGTGTCCAGCCCCTCGATGGTCTCGATGTTGTTGAAGGACAGATCTGGGAGGTAGGAATGATGGGTTAGGGATGAACTTTCCTGAAGTAAAGCCACCAGGCTCTCAGCCTAGCTGTGGGGCCAGGACTGGACTCACTGTCTGGTGGCTGGTGAGTTTCTAGGAGCCTTGCCTGGATTCTTTCCTGTGGTTCCACACTCTTACCACCTTCTCCAGTTCTGCTTGAGAACCCCAGCCCCATTGTCTTTCTGGCTGGGGACACACACTATTGTTCCGGGATGAAAATGCTCATGTACATTTCCCAGGGGGAGGCCACTGTAGAGTCCTCTTCTCTTATGTCTATGGGTATCCAGTACCACCACCTCCTGCTGGCTTGGCATTGAACACTTTATAGAGTGCATGGGTGTGCCCCTTGACAACAACTTGAATGGTGGTTTGGAGTCTCCTGCTCCATTTTATCAAGCAGGAAGCTGAAGCTCAGAAAGGCTCTGTGACTTGCCCAAAGCCACCCAGCTAACAATGGTGGTGCCAGAGTTCATCATGTCCTCTCGTAACTCATAGCCGGCCAGGCTCTCCCACTACCTCACAGGTGGCTCAGGCTCCTCTCCAACCTCAACACCTATGGAGACCTCAGAATCCTCCCAGCCCAAGTGTCCAACCTCTGGGAATAAAAGTACTTCGTCCCACCACAGGTTCTCAGGGTTGGTGGAGGTTCAGGGCTGCAATCCTGTCCTGGAACACCAGTGGCTCAGAGGCCAAAACAGGGAGTTTGTCCTGAGCTTGGATATCTGACGATAACTGCAAACAGCGACATTTACAAGGTGATGTGGGAATGCAGTTTAGCCACATCTTACTCGAGCCTCCTCTACAATCAGGTGACGCTGAGGGGCTGTGGGTTAGATGTCACTCCCCTGATGGCAGCAGAGACTAATAATTTAGCATCCCTTCTCTATGCCAGGCCCTTTACATGCTATCTCAGGTATCTAGTGCTGCTATAAAAGAATTACCACAAGCAGATGGCTTTAACAAACAGAAATTTATTTTCTTACAGTTAGGAGGCTAGAAGTCTGAATTCAGGGTGCTGGCTCTTGGGGAAGGCTTTCTCTCTCTGTTGGCTCTGGCGGAAGGTCCTTGTCTCTTTTGAGCTTCTGTTCCTGGATGATCTTCATGTGCTTGGCATCTCTCTGCCCCCACCTCTGCTTCTGTTGCTTACTTGTTTAATCATTTATATCTCAAAAGAGATTGACTCAAGAGACACCTACACTAATCCTGTCTCATTAACAGAACAAAGACAACCCATTCCCAAATAGGATTATAACTATAGGCATAGAAGTTAGGATTTACAAGACATATTTTGGGGGACACAATTCAATCCATAACACAAGTATTACCTATTTAATCTTCACAGCATAGTAATCATCACTGGGTAGATGAGAAACTGTTTTGTAGATGAGGAACCCGAGGTTCAAAGGAGTGTGGTAACACCCCCAAGGTCACACGGCACATACAGGAGCTGAGGTTCAGAGAGGTGAAATGACTTGTGCAGAATCAGTCCATGTTGGCAAAGCTGGGATTTGAACCGGAGTCCACCAAATTCCCAGCCTGCATACTTCCTTTCTCACCAGGCCACCAGGGTCTCTTCTTTGGTGGCTTACCCCCCTTCCCCGAGAACTAGTGTTAAATGTGTAATAACTAGGAGGGAAAGCCCTGATTTGCAGAACTTGCTAATTTCTGTGGTATAAATACTACCCCCATGGCTGATTTCAGGCTTCCACCATGACATCCCTGAATGCAAAGCTGCAAAGAGCTATGTGAGGTTGGCTTTTTGAGAGCCAATGCCAGCAGCTTCAGCACCCTCAACCCTGTGGCAGCTGGCCATGCCTGGAGGTGTGGGGTCTGTGCTGAACCATCAGAGCACCCCCCCCCCCCAGATCCAGCCACCCAGCTCTTCCTGGCTATAGTTGGGTTGCCAGACGACTAGTCCTGTGGCTGGAAAAAAGTCAGCTCCTGAAACCTCCCCTGAGGAGGGCAGTGTGACCTCTCACTCCTGGTACATCTCTTTCTGCTCCCTTACCCCATACCAGGGAGCGCTGGGCATCGAGCCCAAGCACTTTGGGAGCATGCATTGCCACCGCTGAGAGGCCTGGGAGCAGGGCTGATTTCTTGTCCGGGTGCAGGGTCTCCAGCTGGTACGGGAGATAGGCTTTTGTCAGGGGGGAAACCAAGTCCCTCTCTGGGTAGGCAGGCTGGAAGGAGCTCTCTGTGGATACATGGCACTGACTGTGTATCCAAGCGACTGCTGGGCCAGCTAGCACTTGCTGCAAATCATGGGGTCAGATGGCCTTCCTGAGGGACGCATGGCTCAGAGTCAGGGCTGACCTAGCACCTGCAATGACAGTACCAGGCCCACTGTCCTTATCTCCTCTAGAGAAGATGACTCTGGCAATGCAGGTGGGCTATGGTGGGAAGGGGGTGCCTGGCTGTGGTCTGCCTCTGCTACGTCCAGCGGGTGACTCCATCAGGCCAGTTAGCCTCTCTGAGCGTCACTTTCTGCATCTGTGATGATGGCCCTAAAGCCTGCCTATGGGGCTGCTGCAGGCTTGCAACATCAGCACAGATGTTGCTCAGAGTGCTTGGCAAATCGTGAGGTACGATGCCCTGGGGTAGCCCTGTAATCAGGCAGCAGCCTGATAGGACAGAAGGAATGTGGGCTTTGGGGTCAGACAAGTGTGCATTTGAGTCCCAGCTTTGCTACTTCTTGGCTACATAGCTTTGGGTGAGTGACTTGGCCTCTCTGAGCCTTAGTTCCTCATCCGTAGAATGGAATTTTAACAGAGATCCATCTCTTAGGATTACTGTAGGGGTTCAATGAGATAAGGTGCATGTTAGGGATTGGATTGTGTCCCTCTGAAAGACATGTTGAAGCCCTAACTCCTGGTACCAGTGAACATGACCTTGTTTGGAAAGAGGGTCTCTGAAGATGTTATCAGTTAACATGAGGTCATGCTGCTGGAGTAGGGTGGGTCCTAATCTCATCTGAGTGGTGTCCTTCTAAAAGAGGAGAAGAGACACAGACACGCAGAGGAAGGATGGCCATGTGAAGATGCCTATGCAAGCCAAGGAATGCCCGGAGCTAGAGAGCTGATGGGACAAGAAAGAATCTTCCCCTAGAGCCACTGGAGACTCAGCACGGCTCTGCTGACACAGCCCTGAATTTGGACTCCCAGCCTCCAGAATGGTGAGGCAATACATTTCTGTTCTTATGAGTTACCCAGTTTGTGGTACTTTGTTATGATGGCCCTAGAACACTAAACAGTGTAAAAATAACTCTTAGGCCCATCCCCTTCTCTCTGTTAGGTGCCCACCTGCCCCTCTTCATGTAAGGGTGCCTCCTAACAAGACCAACAGATGGTGACAGTTATTCAAATCTCTCTGTGGCCTTAGCAGTGAGGGACAGAACTTTAGAGTCAGACAGGGCTGGGCTGGAAGTCTGACGCCCCCACTTACTTGCTGTGACCTCAGTGTGCTCATCCCTACAATGGGGATGCTGTAAGGATTTAGAAGCCTTGCATAGAAAGCATATAGGCTCATGCTTAGCATATGTAAGGGCTCAATTCACATTAGCACTTGTGATGGTTATTTCAGGTTTGATTTGACTGGTGGGGTCCACAGTTAACTGTCGATCTGAATTTAGTTTAAATAGAAGGAGTCCATGGCTGCTCCTCTGTCCCTCTCCCAGGGAGGTTGGGCAAGTGGGAGCAGAATGTTCTTTCCTGGTGTGTCCAAGCACACCTCTGTGCTTTGCCAGCTCAGTCCCCAAGCTTTAACAACTCATACTGTTCTTGTTCCCAGCAGACAGGAGCCTCTGCTGCACCAGGTTCATGGTGGGCTGGCAGCAGAGAGTCACATGCGATTACTGTCTCCTGGGGAGGAAATGACCTTGGCAGAGCATCATCTTAGATTTGGGCAGACACACAGATGGGGCCTTACCCAACCAGACCAGATGTGTGAGGTTCTCCAAGCCCTCAATCCTCTCAATGATGTTATTGTCCAGCTGCAGCTTCCTCAAGTTCTCAAACTGCCAGAGGTTGTCTATCCGGAGGATGTCTGAGATAATAGGAGGAGACAGCTTGGTTGGTCACAGCCTTGGTTTAGGGTTTTGTGCCAGTGTATGGGAGGGCTGAGATGGTTAATGTTAACCATACAAAAGGTCCCACAACCCACTCCCCTTCCACCCTGGAGTATGTGGATGTCCTGTGTTATGGGCTGGGCCCTGTGCCCCCTAATAGTGTGAGGGTGGTGATCAGCGCTGTCGCCCAGGGCCACAGGAAAACCTAACGGGTCCACTGATGGGGGGGATGATGGAGGTACACTGTTGGTAGGAGGGTTGATTAATCAGTTCAGTCTATTTAGAGGACAATTTGGCAACGTGTAGTAAAATGTTTCATGTTTGTGCCCTTTAACCCTGCAATTTATCTACTTGGAATCTATCTGCAAAGGCTTAATTGTGTATTATCCAAACAGATACTACAGGGACATTAGACGCAGAAAAATAGGAAGAAAAAAACAAAACAAAACAACAAATGTCCCTGTATGGAGAATGGAATAAATCTCCCATATAACGGAGAGAGAGAAAGAGGAAGAGACCTGATACTGGTTAACCATTTGGATCCAGCCATATCTGAAGACCACCTGCCCCAGTTACATAAGCCAATTCATTCCCTTTCCTACTTAGGCCAGTTTGAGATTGGTTTCTGTCCCTTGCAGCTAAAAGAGTTCTGAGATGCAGAAAAGGTATTTGACAAAATTCAACATCCTTTCATGATAAAAACAGGCAATAAACTTGGAATAAAAGGGAAATTCTTCAACATGATAAAGGGCATTTACAAAAAAAACACACTGAACGTCATACTCAATGGTGAAAGACTGAAAGCTTTCCCCCTAAAATTAAGAACAAGATAAGGATACCCACTTTCACCAATGCTGTTCAACATTGCACTGGAAGTTCTAGCCAGAGCAACTGGCAAGAAAAAGAAATAAAAGGTATCCAAATCAGAAAGGAAGGAAAATTAAAACTATCACTATTTGTAGATGACATGACTCTCTATATACAAAATCCCACAGATTCCACAAAAAAGCTACTGGAGCTAATAAATGAATTCAGCAAAGTTGCAGGGTACAAGATTAACACACAGAAATCAGTTGTGTTTCTATATACCAGCAATGAACAATCTGAAAAGGAAATTAAGAAAACAATTCCACTTATAATAGCATCTAAGAGAATAAAATACCTAGGAATAAGTCCAACCAGGAATGTGAAGAACTTATACAATGAAAATTATAAAACACTGCTGAAAGAGATTAAAGAAGACTTAAATAAATGGAAGGATGTTCCATGTTCATGGACTCGAAGACTTAATACCGTTAAGACATCAATACTACCCAAAGCGATCTACAGATTCAACACAATCCCCATCAAAATTCCAACAACCTTTTTTTGCAGGAATGGAAAAGCTGGCCCTTAAATTCATATAGAATTGCAAGGGGTCCTGAATAGCCAAAACAATCTTGGAGTAAAGTAGGAGGACTCACACTTTCTGATTTCAAAACATATGATAAAGACACAGTAATTAAGATAGTGCGGTACTGGTACAAGGATAGACATATAGACCAATGGCACAGAGTTGAGAATCCAGAAATAAACCAATACATCCATGGCCAATTGATTTTCAACATGGGTGCCCAGTCTATTCAATGGGGAAAGAATAGTCTTTTCAACAAATGGTGCTGGGACCAGTGGATCTCCACATGCAAAAGAATGAAGTTGGACCCCTACCTCACACCATATACAAAAATTAATTAAAAATGGGTAAATGATCTAAATATAAGAACTAAGACCATAAAACTGTTAGAAAAAAACAGAGGTAAATCTTTAAGACATTATATTTGGCAATGGATCCTTAAATATGATATTAAAAGAACAATCAACTAAAGAAAAAAATAAATTGGATTTTGTGATGGTTAAGATTGTGTGTCAACTTGGCTGGGCCATGATTCTCGGTGTTTAACTGTGATCACTCCCAAGACTGAATATACTGTGAGCAGCCAGTCAGATGAAAGGGAGTTTCCTTGGGGGTGTGGCCTGCATCTGAATATAAGCAGACATTCTGGCTTTTTGCTTACTGTGGATCCTGTGGCTGCCTCCTGTCATCTCACCTCCGGTTCTTGGGACTTCAGCTGTCAGCTTATCTGCCGAACTTGGGATTCATCGATCTTCACAGCGTGTGAGCGAAGCCCTGCTCTCTGACCTGCTAATCTTGAGTTCACCAGCCCCTGGAGCTACGTGAATCAGGAAAAACCTTGTGGTCTTGCCTGCCGATCCTGGAATTCGTCAACCTTCACAGCCTTTGAGCAGGAGCCCCGCTCTCCGACCTGCCAATCTTGGGCTCGCCAGCTTCTGTGGCTGCGTGAGTTGGGAGAGGACTCTACCCTGATCCACAGACTTGGGACGTTCTAGCCTCTACAATCGCGTGAGCTGTTTCCTTGAAATAAATCTCTCTCTATATATACATATTTATACGCTTTACTGGTTTTGCTTCTCTAGAGAACCCAGCCTAAGACAGATTTCATAAAAATAAAAAAAAACCTTTTGGGCATCAAAGGACATTAACAAGAAAGTAAAAAGACAACCTACAGAATGGGAGAAAAGGATTTGAAAATCATGTATCTGATAAGAGTTCAATATATAGACTATATGAAGAACTCCTACAACTCAACAACAAAAAGACAAACAACCCAACCAAAAAATAGGCAGGGGACTTCAATAGACATTTCTTCAAAGACATACAAATGGCCAATGCGCACATGAAAAGCTGCTCAAATTTGTTAGCCAGAGGGAAATGCAAATCAAAACCATGATGAGATACCACCTCACCACTATTAGGATGGCTATTATCAGAAAAAGACAAAATAATTGTTGGTAAAGATGAGGAGAAATTGGAACCTTTGCTCATCATTGCTGGTAGGAATGTGAAATGATGCAGCCACTGTAGAAAGCAGGTTGGTAGTTCCTTAGAAAATTAAACATGGAATTACCACCAAACCCATTGCTGTCGAATTACCACCAAACCAAAAACCAAACCTGTTGCTGTTGAGTTGGTTCCAACTCAGCAACCCTGTCGGACAGTGTAGAACCACCCCATAAGGTTTCCAAGGCTGTAATCTTTACCAAAGCAGGCTACTACATCTTTCTCCTGTGGAGCAGCTGGTGGGTTTGAATCACCGACCCTTGGGTTAGCAGCTGAGTGCTTTAACCACTGTGCCACCAGGGCTCCTGGAATTACATGACTCAGCAATCCCACTCCTGGTTATATACTCCAAAGACTTGAACGCACGGACTCAAACAGATACGCGTCCACTAGTGCTCGCTGCAGCATTATTCATAATAGCCAAAAGGTAAGAACAATCTGAATGTCCACCAACAGATGTCCATAAACAATGTCCATAAACAAATGTGGTATATACATATAATGAAGTATCACTCAGCCATAAAGAGAAATGAAACCCTGATGCATGCTATGACGTGGATGAACCTTGAAAACATTGTGTTGAGTGAAATCAGTCAGTCACAAAAGGACAAACATCATATGATCCCACTTACATGAAATACCTAGAATGCAATTATACATGTAAAAATAGTTGAAATGGCAAATGTTTTGTTATATATATTCTACCACAAAAAATTTCACACAAATCTATCTGAAAGACTTAAAAAATGGTCAAAATGGCAATTTTTTTGTAATATATTTTACCACAATAAAATTTAAAATAAGAGTTCTGAGTAACACATAAGTATACATAAATATATACTCTCTCTATAAAATTCTAGAGGCCCAAATCTGTCCCCTAGTTTTTTCCAGAAGCCACATATAGCTCTGTTGTTTATTTGCCCCCCTTTCTGTATTTCTTTTGTAATAATTTCCAAAACTTATAAAATTAGAATATGTTCATTGAAAGAAATAATACAGAAATAAAAGAGGTTTAAAAAGTATTCTTAACTACACATTCTGGGCCTCAGTTTCAATGTTCATTCAATCTTTCTTGAGCATTCTTGAGCATCTACTATGTACCAGGGGACATTGGTGGTTCAGTGATAGAATTTTTGCTTTCCATACGGGAGACCTAAGTTTAATTCCTGGCCAATTCACCTCATGTGCAGCCATCACCTATCTGTCATTGGAGGCTTGTGTGTTGCTATGATGCTGAACAGGTTTTAGTGGCGCTTCCAGACTAAGATGGACTAGGAAGAAAGGCCCAGCAATCTACTTCTGAAAATCAGCCAATCAAAACCCTATGAATCACAACGGTCTGATGTGAAAATGATCATGGGGATGGTGCAGGACCGGGCAGCATTTCATCCCATTGTGCACAGGCACCATGAGTCAGGGGCTGACTTGACAGCAGCATACAACAACTATGTGCCAGGCAGGTCTCTACCTCTGGCTGTTCTTACCTGGGCTGAATGGGGGTCGCTACTGTATACAGAGTGCCAAGCACTAAGTTTGGAGGGCACACACGCTCTCATTTCAACCTGTGACCCCTGCACGGTAGGTGCTATTATTTTTCCCATTATACAGATTAGGAAACTGAGGCTCAGAGAGGCCCTGCACTTTGCCAAGGTCATGCATCTAAGAAGTGGTGGCCAGCCCCGTTCATCACACCACTTGTTTTGGGGACTTTCCATGCACTGCTGGCTGAATCCACATTGTTTTATTTGTTGATGGCTCATTCTCCATCTCCTCCCACTAGAACGCACTCCTCAAGAAAGGCCTCATCTGGCTTGTTCGTTGCTATAGCACAAGCATTGAGAATGCTCTCTGGCACCTTTGGTGTGCTGTTAATATTCACTGGAGGCAGGAGAGGCAGAGGGCTGGGCTTGCCTATGTGGCCCTGAAGGTCCTGGGGGAGATTAGGTGCCCCCACACTCCCTGCCCACCCCCAGAGGACCTACTGCTGGACTGCCCAGTTATTCCTCCCCCCAGGTTCCCAGGGCTGGGTAAGGCTGGTGCCTATACTCTCATTCCCTGTTTTTTGGCCAGATTTCACAGAATGATATATGCCATCATCTCTGCCCTGTGCTTCTGGGGCAGGACTATTTCATCCCCGGATCTGACGCTGCTCCTGAGGTTCTCACTGCCTGCATCCCTGGTCTGGTCTTTCCAAGCACCTGCTCTGGCCCAATCTTAGACTGATACCACTCTACCTAGGGGTCTAGCCCTCCTGGGGCTCTGCAACACACGCCAAAGACTGGCTTTTTCCAGGGCATCAGTGGTTCACAGGAAAAGTCAAAACCACACATGAAATCAGGATGTATTTAACAATTTGCTCTAAGTTACCAGCATGACAGCACTGCCAGAGAAGCCAATTTCCCAAATATACACCGAATCCGCCTCCACTGTTGCCGCCCTGTCCCCTGGCCTCTCTGGCCTCATCTCCTCCTGCATCCCACTTGGCTCATTCTGCTCTCTTCCCTGAATGCCTGGGGCTGCTGCCGCGGCCTCTATACCTGTTGCCCCCAGCCTGGTCCCCTTCCCCAATAGCTACATGGCTCCCTCCCTCCCTCCTTCAAGTCTTCATTCAATCATCACCTTTTTGGTGAGGTCTTCTCTGACCTTTCATCCTATAAAAACCTTCACCCCACCCCAGCTCCCCTCTTCTTTCCTTGCTTTCTGTGTCTCTGTAGCACTCACCACCTTTAACATACAGTATATTTTCCTTATTTATTTATTGTCTTCTCCACTTGTCAGCTCCCCCAGGTCAGGGTTTTTGTCTTTTTTGCTCATAGCTGAACCCCTAGTGCCTAGAACAGTACCTGACACTTGGTAAAGATTATGTGAAACTTAGGTTTGAGTGTATGGGAGGTGAGGAATGAAGGGAGTTGACATTAAAGCCCCCTCCTGTGTGCCAGCCATCTGCAGTCCATTTACCCCTTCAAGGCAGGAAGCACCACTCCCCTCTCACAGCTGCAGGGCACTGCTGCAGAGCCATAAGCAGCCTCAAGGCCACACTCTAGGGGCCTGTGGGCTTTGTGACCCAGGCTGGGTGGAGGCCTGCATCGATCATCCTCGTTGTTGACTGCGCAACCTGGCCTGAGGGGGCCCCAGGACAGAGCAGGGATGAGAAGCAGCCCAGGTCACTCAGCAATGGCCTTATCACAGGCTCCAGGCCCTGCCCGTTTCTCTGCTTCCTGTCGCCTGCTCAGCTGGCTCACTGTGCATGTGGCTTCTCGTTGAGCTGGGCCCTGTGTGCATGTGGTCTTGCTATGTCCTCCCAGCCAGGCCAAAAACAGGAACTAGTCATCCCCATTTTGCGCATGGGGAAACCGAGGCCATAGGGTCTACCTGGTCCTGAGCCACATCTTCCCAGTAGGCTATGCTGTCACTCCGAAGGGCCTCCCTGCCTCAGGGCCTTGAGCCCCTCCTCAGTGACCCCTTTTGAAGCTACCCCCAGGGCCAGATCCTCCGCCTCACACTTCCCACTCCTGGATCCTGGCTGCTGGGGGCCACCCCCTCCTTTCTGCCTGCCAGGGACGCCCACTCCAAGGACCCTGTGTGGAGTATGTGCTGGTAACAGCATGGCCTTTGGGGTTCATTTAGGTATGGAGGGGGCAGTTTTTTATTCTCCTCTGTTCTTAATCAGAATCAAGAGTGTTGTGGATATTCAATGCTAATGACATTTAGATAACAACACCTGATGTCCATTTGTGTAAGGTGCTGTTTTAAAAACATCTGTGCTGTTCCTGTGCTTTCAAACCCAGCAGGCCCTGATGCTGATGTAGGCTTGTGAGCATGGGGCTTGGCGTGGTAATCTGGGCTTGAGATTTGAGAGTAGAGAAGGCAGGGTGGCCCTGCCCGGGAGGGGGGTCCTCTCCTCCCGCCATGCACCCAGGGATACGCACTCTGGAAGTCCAGCTGCAGGGACAGGACATCCTTGAAGAGGATGCCCTCCTGCTTGGCCAGCTGCCCAGCCTCCTCGCGGGGGCCCTGCTCTGCCACGGCCAGCTTGAGCAGGTCATCATCCATCACTCTCGGCTCCATCGACTGGCACAGCCTGTTCATCTCCCTGCCCACCTCCTGAAAAACACCACACTGCCCTCTACACCATTTCTTCCTTTGTTTAGGACACGAATGGCTAGGGCTCCTCGAACGGGGCCCTGGGACATCGAGGCGGCCATAGGCACTCTAGGGCCTGCCCTCCCACACCCTGCCCCCTACACCTGCCTGGATGCCAGGCCTCAGTACACCTCTTGGCCCCACAGCCCCAGGGACTGGTGTCTACACTGGCCGTCGCCTCTGCATCTTAGCTCTTCTCTGGCCTTGGCCCTGCCTCAGGCCTCAGGCTCTCTGTGCCCATCCTTGCTCAGGTTTCTTGGCACCGTGTTCTGACTGTATTCAGAGTGAAGACCCCTGTTCTGAGCGCCTCAGCCCGTAGGTCCCCCTAAGAAGGGAGAACATGGGGATGCGGGCTGAGCGTGCCTGTCAGAGTGAGCTGCTTGACCTGGGAGGAAATGGAGAGCTGTCAGGTGGCCTGGGACGAGAAAGCAGGGGGAATGAGGCAGATGAACAAGGAGAAGCAGATGAGACCCAGGTGGTCCAGAAAGAGAGAGGCCAAAGGCCGGACAGATGCTGCCTTCTTCCTGCTGGCATACCAGGCCCTTGGGAGGCCTGGCGGTGAGCTAGCTCTTAGTGGTTCTGTGAGTTTGATTTCTCACACTGAGTCCTCTTTTCCTTAAGCTGATGGCATAGTGGTTAAGGGCTTGGCTGTTAAGCAAAAGGTCAGGAGTTCGAATACACTAGCAGCTCCCTGGAAACTCTACAGGGCGGTTGTTTTCTGTTCTATAGGGTTGCTATGAGTCGGAATCGATTCGATGGCAATGGGTTTGGTTATTTTCTTTTTCTTCTTAAGCTAACTCAGGTAGGTTTCTGTTGCTGATGGTCCAAAGGGCTTTGGCTGAGATGCAGCTGACAAAGAAGGGGGGATCTGTGGGTTTGGTTAGTCACACACTGCAGGCTGATCCCCAACTGCTATTCCTGTTTGGACAGAACCCCTGCCCTGGGAATTTGGGGATGCCCCAGCCTCTTTCTTATCACCCCCTACCCCCTTGGCGAGGACATCTGGAAGGGCTGGGCCCTCCATGAAGGCACACTCTCCAGCCAGTCTGCTGTAAACTCCCAGATTGGCCTCCTGAACCCTCTGGAAACTCCATCTTCCCTGTACTTTCCACCATGGCTTCCTGGCTTCTCACCTCCCTGCTGGCTTTACCTTCTACTTTGTCTCTGGGGTTCCCCGAACCTCTTGTCCTGCTGGTCCCTGACCTGGGAATCCCCTGCCCTCTGCTCTCTTCACTGAGCCTGCTGGAGAGACTCCTGATGTTGGGCAGTGGTGTCCACCACAAACCCAGAGTGGGCCTGGCAAACCTGCCACCTGATCCTGGAGGCATCTACTGCATGGCTGCCCTCCTGCCTCCCCACATCCACTTAAATGCAGCTCATGCAAGCGATGTACCCTCCATTTATGGGCAGTCCATCATCAAATGTCCCTGTGCCTTTAATCCTCCTGCATCCTTCCCTTCTGCCTGGGGAGGAGACATCCTCCACATACACCCCCCCACCTCCCACCCAACCTGGGCCTTCCATTCTCCAAAACCTTGGTCCCTTTCTTCCCACTTTCTCCAAGCTCTCAACACTAGCTCCTCTTCCTTAGATTGACTGATTCAATCCCTTAAAGATGCTTCTAGTCCTTGGCTTCTCTCCATCTCTCCACTTTTCTGAAATAGTTTTCCCATAACTTACCACCCATTTGCCTTTGGGGAAATTTTAATGTGCTGTATCAGGCAGATGTCATCCTCAAAGTGTTCGTGCTTTTTCAAAGAAAGGTGCTCTACTTTGGGAAATGGTTCTTAATTTTGATTTCAAAAATTTGACTGACTTCTTATCACGCTCTCTTCATCAAGGCCTGGCACATGTGATATGCCAAGCTTGCTTTCAGTCAAGCCCAGCTATTGCTATGTAGTCTGGTACAGCTCTTACATCCTTATTTGTTAAGCACACAAGGCAGGGTTTGAATCCTGACTGTGCAATCTTTGGCAACTCACTTCGCCTGTCTAAACCTTCAATTTCCCATCTGTTCCTGGCTCCTATATTTGCTTATGAGGATTAAAAGAAGCAATGCATACCAAGCTGCTAGCATGGGAAAGCACTCAATACATGACTATTCTTTAGCCCACACACATTTACTGAGTACCTACTGTGTGCCGTAAATGACATGGACAGATCTTCTTACCTCTGTTTCACACATGAATCAAATAATCATACAAAGATTTAATTATAGCCATGACAAGTTTGTCAGTGTAGGAAGTAGGAGAGCGTATATTAGGGACACCTGGCCTGGCCAGAGGAGACAGGGCTGAGATTGGAAAGGCAAGAAGGAAGAGGGAACTGCATGGTGGGAGCCCTGAGGTGGGAGAGAACAAGACCTGTTCCACTTTGGCTGGAGTGATGTGAAGTTGAAAAGCCTGAAGGAGCTTTATTACTATCCTAGAACCCCTGGGAAGCTCCTAGGGCTTAATAAGGGCAGTGACATGATCAGATTTTAAGTTTAAGAAGCTCACTATGGCTGCAAGTACTGGGAGTGGCAGGAGTAGCGAGCTGACAGATGACCAAGGTGGTGATGAGATGCGAATGTGAGAGATCTCTAAAAACTTAATTTATATGTAAGACTAATCACCCCCAGTGTCCAGATAAGAAAGCTGGACTTGGTTAGAAAAGTTAAGTAACATGCCCAAGTTTACACACCTACTACGTGGCAGAGGCGGGAGAATATGACTACAGAGACCATTGTCTTAATTGCTACTCAGCTGTACCCAGGGCGCTGTGGTCCATCGTCATAGTGACATTGATTTTTCACAACTGTTCTGGGTCAGAGCAAAGGTGCAAACATAGTAAGAGAAAGGCCTCACTACTCTTGCCACTCTTGGTACTGAAGCCAGAGTGATTTGCAGTAACTTATAGTAATTTACTACCAACCTGGTTTGCCTCTTAACTTGCCTGCTGATAGAGTTGTTAGTGAAGACCAGAGGTAGGAGGCAGGGAAAGCAGTGAACGGCTTTACACCACTGTCAATGGAGTAGTCTCCTAACAGAGAAACAGATCCAGAATTATCTTGGGAAACAACAACCTGGGATCAATTCAATATAAAATATATAACCCCTACTGCCCATGACTTAATAGGAAGAAAATCAACCATTTTACTGAGTGTTTACTGTGTGCTAAGTGCATATGTATTATTTAATTACTCGCCAGCTCTGGGTGCCATTAGAGAAGGCAGTCCAAATGTCTTAATTTCCCAGACAGGGAAACTGTGACTCCAGGAGAGGAAGGAACTTGTCCAAAGCCTTACAATGAGCTACTGACAGAGACAAACAAGGAACCCAGGTATCCATATTGCCAGTCAAAGCTCTTTGAAGATACAGTACTATGATGAAGAATAAAAACAATTTGGTGAGAGTTAAGGGGTCTGGAAGAAGTTATCAGTGGGCCGGGTACCTTCCTTTCTGTGAAAGAGATAGGACCAAGAGGGAGGGAGATGTAACAATTGACCCCTTAAAAATCCTTTCTGCACCGCCCTGACAGGGAACACAACAGAGAGTCCCTGATGGAGCAGCAGAAAGATGGGCTGCAGAACTCAAATTCTAGTAAGAAGACCAGACTCAATGGTTTGATTGAGACTGGAGGTACCCCGGAAAGCATGGCCCCCGGATTCTCTATCGGCCCAGAACTAAAACAATTTCCGAGGCCAACTCTTCAGACAGGGTTTGGACTGGACTGTGGGACATAAAGTGATACTTGTGAGGAGTGTGCCTCTTTAGCTCAAGTAGATACAAGAGACCAAAGGGGCAGCTTCCGTCCAGAGGTGAGATGGGAAGGCAAAGAGGGTTAGGAGCTGGTTGAATGGACATGGGGAATCAGGGATGCAAAGGGAGAGGGAACTGCAGTTCTTAGAGCAGAGGGTATCCTCTGGGACAGTGCCCATTCAGAGGGCTGCTGGAACTGGAACAGGGGACAAGGATGGAGAGAGACGCGGGGGCGGGGTGTTACCGCGGTGACATCTCACAGCGGCTGGGAAAACTGTCGCAGAATGGGGTGAGCAATTAGGGTCACATAACAATATATGTATAAAATTTTGTATGGGAGACTAACTTGAAATGTAAGCTTCATTTAAACGACAACAATAAAAAAAATAAAAGAACTACAAACAAACAAAAAAATCCCTTCTGCTCCTGCCACCTAAAGAGATGCTACTTTAGCAATTTCTTTCTCATCCAAAGGCCTGAAAAGCCCAGGACTAAAGTGTCTTGATTTTGGCTGGCAGAGATCTGTGTGCTCATTCAGAGAAAAACGTCACAGGAAAGAGTAAGAAACAGTATGCAGTCTAGCCCCTTCGAGGTCCCTCGGAGCTGCAGTTCCCGGGTCTCACCTTTCCGGGCACCGGCTATGTGGCTGGCTCCACGCAGCAGACGCACCGCCCGGTTGCTAACGGAACCAAGAGTAGCCACACCGTTGCTAATGGGAAGTCAAAACGTGGACATCCTGGGTGAAAGTTGACGGATCACGTGACCAAATTTCTAGGCGGGGAAATATTCCTCACACCAACCAGCCGCAGAAAAAACAAATGTCTCTCCAATCAGCACTTTCTATGGGCGGGGATTTTTCTAGCCCCGCCTCCTCTCCACGGCTATCTGAATGATTGACTCATCCTTGCCCAATAATATAAGTACTCTCTAGATTGACAAACATATAGATGAATCAAAATGAAAAACGTTCGGAGGTGGGCAAAGGGGGGGTGCCGCTACGCCTGACGGGGACTCCGGGCTCCTTGGCTGATCGTTCACCGCGGGGTAGGTGGGGCTTTGCTCAGGGCGTACGGCCAGTCAGAGGAGGGCTGCGCAGGCGTTGCCCAATAGGGAAGCGACAAGGGGGCGGGGTCGAGGGCCCGGCGCTAAGCGTTCCTGAGGGTGGGTCGGGGGCAAGTGTCAGTCAGGTGGGGAGCAGTACTAGGGGACAGCGGAGACCGCGGCAGCAGACTGAGTCGTGCCGTTGCCGGTTGCCGGCCCAAGATGGAGTTCCTCCTGGGGAACCCGTTCAGTACCCCGGTGGGGCAGTGCCTCGGTAAGGCCGCGCGTCAGGGCGGGAGCGGTGGCGGCGGACGGGAGCTGGCGAGGGCTGCGGCCTCTGCCCAGCGCCAGTGCAACCTCACGGCAGACCGGGCATCCTGGTCGGCGGGCAGGGCATCCTGGTCAGCGGGCCTTTGCCCGGCGCCGGTGCGTGCTGCCCGGCAGCGCCCCTGACACCTGGCTCAGTCTCGGGATGCTCCGCGCGTCCCTACCCCTCAGGGCCCAGCCCTTCCTGGCTCTCCTAGAGCTGCTGCCAGTTGCTTCTCTGCTCACCGCCTCCCCCATTGAGAGGTGCCACTCTACCCGATCCAGCCAACAGTCTCGCCGCCACTGCCCGCAGGACCCAGTTTTCCCAGCCGCTGTGAGATGTCACCTCTGCTCTAAGAACTGTTAATTTGAGCTGCAACTGAACTAGGCTGTAGAGATATGGAATGGGGATTCGTAGGATGTGCTTGTCCTGACATGGGTGGCGTGCCTGTAGTGTCTCCCAGGAAAGAGGGAGCCTGCGACATTTAATGATAAGAGCCCTGGTCTGGGAGTCAGGAAGCCTGGACTCCAGTACTGGCTTTGCCAGTGATTATGCCGATGACCTTGTGCAGTCACAGCCCTTTCTTGTTTTAATTTCCCTGTCTGTCAGATGAGGTGTTTGGAGGTGAAATGTGCTAGGTCCCTTCAGGTTCTAAAGTTTTGATATTCCTTGTGGCAATATCTGCACATTGACAGTTGCTCCCAGCACCCAAGCTGCCACCATGTGGGATTTCCTTACTAAAAGAGCAAGTTGCCTTTTCATCAAGGCCAGACCGTATGTTAAGTGATCAGTAAAGAATGTTGATTAGTGTCTTTTCAAACTGAGTGCCTCCTGTTTGGTGGAAGGACTGGTAAAACGTCTTTTATGAGCAGGGACCTTTGTTGTCCTTATTGGCCTGACTGGTTTAGATAGTAGTGATTTATTTGCTTACGAATTTCCAGCTCACTTTTCAGCTTTAGTGAGACCTGTGAAATTATAGAGGCCTCTCCTGTTGGCTAATTGACATTTGGGAACCTCACTTTCCTTTCTGGTGAAGTGTCTTTTAAAGGGGATGATGGACACTGGGTCCTGGAAGAGTCTTTTCCCAACTTTATGACATTTTGCCCCTTGCTCCCACTGAGTGCCTCTTTGTGTTCTCACGCACCTTTCTTCTTCCTCGTTGCCTTTCCCACTTTCCTCAGGGGCTCTTTCATTGCAGCTGTGTTCTAAATACTCATTGTGCAGTTGGGCATTGAATTCCAGCCAGTTAAATGGAGGGAGCAAGTAAACTCGGAGGGATTTTTTTTTCTTTTCTTTTTTGTCTCCTTTATAATAGGAAATTCTGTACTTTTGAAATGTCATGGTAGTTGATGAAGGGTATAAGTTAAACAAGATTTTAAAATATACCAATATAAGAGGTGTGGTGTAAAAAGGAAGTGGAAAGCATAGATGCTTCAGTCAGGAAGACCTGAGTTTAATTTTTGTTTCTTTTATTGTTGTGCTTTAAGTGAAAGTTTACAATTCAGGCTAGTCTCTCATACAAAAATTTATCTATACATTGTTTTGTGACCCTAGTTGCTCTCCCTGTACTGTGACAGCACACTCTGCCTTTCCACCCCAGATTTCCTGTGTCCATTCAACCAGCTTCTGACCCTCTCTGCCTTCTCATCTCACCTCCGGACAGGAGCTGCCCATTCAGTCTCATGTATCTGTGTGAGCTAAGAAGCACACTCTTCACGAGTATCATTTTATGTCCCATAGTCCACTCTAATCTTTGTCTGCAGAGTTGGCCTCAGGAATGGTTTTAGTTTTGGGCTAACAGAGAGTCTGGGGCCATGTCTCCCAGGGTCCCTCCAGTCCCAGTCAGACCATTAAGTCTGGTTGTTTTACTAGAATTTGAGTTCTGTGCCCTACTTTTCTACTGCTCCATCAACTCTCAGTTGTGTTCCCTGTCAGGGCGGTCATTGTGGTAACGGGGCACCATCTAGTTCTTCTCATCTCAGGCTGATGAAGTCTCTGGTTTATGCGGCCGTTTCTGTCTCTTAGGCTAATACTTTCCTTGTGTCCATGGTGTTCTTCATTCTCCTTTACTCCAGGTGGGTTGGGACCAATTGATGCATCTTAGATGGCTGCTCACTAGCTTTGAAGACCCCAGATGCCACTCACCAAAGTGAGATGCAGAACATTTTCTTTAAAAACTTTGTAATGCTAGTTGACCTAGATGTCCCCTGAAACCATGGTCCCCAGACCCCTGCCCCTGCTACTCTGTCACTCGAAGCGTTTGGTTGTATTCAGGAAACTTCTTAGCTTTGGTTTAGTCCAGTTGTGCTGACTTCTCCTGTGGTGTGTACTGTCCTTCCCTTCACCTAAGGTAATTCTTGTCTGCTTTCTAGTTAGTGAATACCCCTTTCCCTCCCTCCCCACCCTTGTAACCATCAAAGAATGTTGTCTTCTGTGTTTAAACCTTTTCTTGAGTTCTTATAATAGTGGTCTTATGCAATATTTGTCCTCATGCGACTGACTAAGTTCACTCAGCATAATACCTTCCAGATTCCTCTATGTTATAAGATGCTTCCGGATTCATTGTTGTTCTTTATCATTGTGTAGTATTCCATTGTGTGAATATACTATAATTTGTTTATCCATTCGTCCGTCGATGGACACCTAGGTTGTTTCCATCTTTTTGCGGTTGTGGACAGTGCTGCAGTGAACGTGGGAGGGCATATATCTATTCCTGTGATGGCTCTTATTTTTCTAGGATATATTCCAAGGAGTGGGATTGCTGTACTTCTATTTCTAGCTTTTTAAGGAAGCGCCAAATTGATTTCCAAAGTGGTTGTACAATTTTACATTTCCACCAACAGTGTATAAGTGTTCCAGTCTCCCCACAACCTCTCCAACATTTATTATTTTGTGTTTTTTGGATTAATGCTAGCTTTGTTGGGGTGAGATGGTATCTCATTGTAGCTTTGATTTGCATTTCTCTAATGGCTAATGATCACGAGCATTTCCTCATGTCTGTTAGCTGCCTGAATGTCTTCTTTGGTGAAGTGCCTGCTCATATCCTTTGCCCATTTTTTAATTGGGTTATTTGCCCTTTTTTGTTGTTGCTGTTGAGGCTTTCCAGTATCTTGTAGATTTTAGAGATTAGACGCTGATCAGATTTGTCACAGCCAAAAATTTTTTCCCAGTCTGTAGGTTGTCTTTTTACTCTTTTGGTGAAGTCTTTTGATGAGCGTAAGTGTTTGATTTTTAGGAGCTCCCAGTTATCTAGTTTCTCTTCTGGTATTTGTGCGTTGCCTGAGTTTAATTTTGACCCTACCCATTTATTGGCTGTGTGACTCAAGAAAATTGTGTAACCCTTCTGAGCCTTAGACTGCCTATCTGTTAAGAAAAAGAGAAAAAGAGCGATAAAGAGAGAGGGAGATTAAAACTCCCAGAGTAATGAGGAAGGATTAAGTGAAATAATAACATTTAGCATAGTACCTGGAACATAGTGGAGGCTCAATAAATTGTAGTTTTCACTGTTAATAAGAGAATGATTAAGTGAGGCTTGACTTTTCTATCCAGAGGGGATATGCTGAGACTACCGGCCCATCTGTTAACTGTGAAGGAAAATATGCTTCTAGGCCCCAGCACCCACCATCCCTTATAAGAGACACTTGACCATAAAGAGACTGAAGGTTCCTCAGTGACACAAGGCACTGGGAGACCTGGGTCCTGGGGGGCAGTGGTGGAGAGACTGCTGGCTGGATAAGGGTGCTCACAGGGCACCTCAATGAAGTGGGGAGTGAGCAGACAAGCAAGTGGCAGCAGCTCTTCCCTCTGTCCACTAACCATTTATCTGAACGGAGAAAATTCTGAAAACTGAATTTTCTCAGTTCAGATAAATGGTTGGCAGACAGAGTGATGTTCTAATGTATATTCAGTCTGTACTGTTGGGACAAAGATGTAAATATGATTTTCATGAAATCTTAGTATTCTTTTAAAAAGTATGTGCCAGGCAGGCAGTATCACTCATTGAAGACCGCATGTGATAATAATGTCACATAATAATATAATATTATATCACATAATAATATCACAAGTATGTATTAAGTATGCCCTATATGCCACCTTAGGAGCCCTGGTGGCACAGTGGTTAAAGTGCTCGGCTGCTAACCGAAATATTGGCTTTTCAAACCCACAAGCGGCTCTGTGGGAAAAAGATGTGACAATCTGCTTCCATAAAGATTACGGCCTTGGAAACCCTATAGGGCAGTTCTACTCTGTCCTACAGGGTTGCTATGAGTCGGAATTGACTTGACAACAACGAGTTTATATGCCACCTACCCTGGTGGCGCAGTGGTTAAGGGTTACGGCTGCTAACCAAAAGGTCAGCAGTTTGAATCCACCAGCTGCTTCTTGGAAACCCTATGGGGCAGTTCTGCTCTGTCATATATGGTCACTATGAGTCAGAATCGACTCGAAGGCAACGGATATGGTTTTGTTTTCGGAGTTCCTGGGTGGCGCAAATGATTAATACGCTTGTCTGCTAACTGAAAGGTTGGAGGTTCAAATCCACCCTTGGAAGAAAGGCCTGGCGAGCTGCTTCTGAAAGATCACAGGCATTGACAACCCTGTGGAGCACAGTTCTGCTCTGACACATGTGAGGTTGCCATGAGCTGGACTCAAGTTGTTGGCAGCTGGTTTTTTACTTTTATTTTTTGGTTTTATATGCCACCTGCGAGGGGGAAGGGAACACAGAAATAAAATAACAGCAACAAAGGTAAGATTGAAAGCAGCGGGTCTAACTTGCACAAAGCAATTCCACAGCCATCACTTGCTCCTTACAGCTACTCTGTAAAGCAAGTTTTATTGTCCTTCCCACTTTGAAGAGGAGGAGATAGGCTCAGAGGAGTGCAGTGACTTCCTGAAGACTCTTCAGCTGGGAAGATAAAGCTGGGATTTCATACCTGGTCCCTGCACTCAAAGGACTTCTGGTCTCA